AGGGGGGGGGGGGGCAGGATAGCTTAATTCTAACGAATAGACTAAGTTATTTAATTGATACTGATAGTAAAATTAATGTAAATCAACTCTTTATTGAGGACTAAAATGCTTAAAGTCTCACTACACAGCTAATTTTACATATAAAATGCATAAATGATGAATTATTTAGAAAAGTAACTATATTAGACTGTGAAGTTAAGAGTTTGGTTAAAAAACTATCTAAATATGATCTTTTGTTTTTAACATATTGCAAAACCGATGTACAGTTATTTTAAAAAAATTGGTAATGTTTTTCATCGTTTTTCCTTGTCGTTGCTGTCTAATTTATAGTCTGTGAGTTATGGCCTGTAGCCCCTGGGGCGAGGGGTTGTCTACGCAAAAGAACTCGCAACTGAACTAGTTAACTTGGCCGAAGTAAAAATCAGCAGTAGGCCAGTAACATGAACTAGTATGTCCATTTTACGAAAAACAAAATATAAATAAATAAATAAATAAATAACGCGATTAATAATGATAACTTTCTTTTAGTCCATTACTACGGACAATCTTTTGTTAAGGAAGATCAAAACTTCGATCTCAAGTCTCAGGCGAATTTTTTTCCAAAGCACTTTCTCTAACCTTGTTGTAATAATAACATTATTTATTCATGCAACTAAAGGTTGGCTTTCACAAGTGCTATAAAAGACTGTTAAAAGTTACTTAAAAACATAATGAATCTACCCACCAAAAACAGAAAATAAACAAATTGATTAAAATATTAAATCAATTTGATTCTAAAAATAGCTCAATCACATAAAAGAAGTATTGAATTTTTAAAATATGAAATCAACTTATTTCTTAATATTTGAAAGTAATGAAGTTTATACATTATTTTTTGCGAGATAAAAGTCTTTGCAAATCTAACAGTTCTAAGTTTTGGAATATAAAATATCTGAGAGTAACTAAGGGAAGGTGGATTTTTTTAAACTTATGGTAATAAATGATTGAGTCTATGCCCTTCCATACACTTTCGTGAGCTGAGACAATAGATTGTAAGTTGTAGGTTAGTTAGCCCAGGGTGACAAGCCGATGTCCATGCTCTTGGCTGCGAGATAGTCTATATTGGTGCTATTATCACTGGTACCGTCTCGTGAAAGATCCATCGTTTTTACGACAGTAACTTTGGACACGTGCTCTGTATGATGATAATGGGGGAAACGGAAGGGGGGAGGGGATTGAATAATAAATTATTTGTTTTCCATTTTTCCAACTTCTAGATCTGTAGATTGGAAGTGTGCTTTTGTGTGTACATAGAGGGTTATTGTGTTCAGGACCTTTGTTAGTGGTATTGTTTTCTTGGTGGTTAATTCGGTAATTATATCGATAGACATTGCAGCTTCATATCTATGACCCTATTATTTTCTAAATAAGCGGAAATCAAGCACAAATCCTTTGGTATTAATATTTGGACCATTTTATTAAATTAATTGGGTGTATTTCATTAAATCAAATCACACATACGTGTACACATGCCACAAACACACACATAAAACATAGCGTGCAAACAAACACACACACATACACACACACACACACAGTTATTGAATTAGTGTACATTATTTTGATATCCAAGTAGAAAAGTATCCAAAGTCAATATTATGTTGCAGCATCTAGCGCCCAAAGTTCGGCGTGGACTGTCAGCGACGTGAACACCACAGCAGTATGTGTCGTAGCTCGAATGGAACTGGACATCAAGATTTCCTACTTGGACGACACCGGGGCGGTAAGTGTGTGTGTTTTTTTTTAGTAGAGAGATGTTCATGCAAGTTACTTAGTGCATCTTAATGCATTTGGGTTTTTACACGCGTGAGTCTGGGCCCTTGCGTACGTTTACGTGTGTTGACATGGGTTGTGAGTAGGTGTGCAGACGCTTGTGAGGGAACGTGCATTATTTCGCGTTCTTGAACTAGTGCATGTGGTTGTGCGTTCAGCCATGCATATTTTAATACAGGCATCCCTTTGCGTAATAATGGTTGCCCCCCGCCCTTAAAAAGATTATAATCAAATAATAACAACGTCAAGTTTCCTTACGTTTCAGAGACTCAACGCAACCATTGATTTCCCCGAAAACTTTGATAGAATCGGGGGTTTCTGCGAGGACGCCAGTTCCCCCAACACCAACATGCTAACTCTGGAATGGAAGAAGCAAGAAGCAACCTTCAGTCTCAGCGTCAAATTCACCAAAGTTTCGGAGGACGGAGGGCAAACGTACACTAAGTATCAACTGGGGGAAGTGTTGCTCCATATCCCGATGATGCCAGAATTGTTCCCCAACGTGGAAGCAGCCGGTTAGTTTTACACTCATATTAACGAACAGAATTATTATTGTTTTTTTACTAAAATAGTTAAGCTCCCTTTGGAGAATGTCGTACCAGAGATGCCATTTGTCTAAAGCAGTGATGTCCTATAAATAATTTAGAGTTTTGAATGTTCATTTTTATTTTCTCTCCTTTCAAAAATGGTGTTCAGTGTATAATAATAATAATAATAATTAATTAGTATTATTATTATTGTCATTATCCTCCACAGTGGCCAACCAGACTCTGGTGGTCAGGAACGTAGACGACGACGGCAATCTAATGGCGCCTGCCGGGTTCTCCACCCGACTTTCCCGATGTCTGGTCTGCAACACGCAACACGTTTTTCAAAACCTGGAGGCTCACGGGACGGACGCTGAACATTACCACGACACACTGGTGACAATGACAATCTCAGATGTGCAGTTCATCGCGTTCAAGGAGGATGAGACGACCCATATTTCTGACAGTGGGGAATGTAAGTATAGGAGGGTCTATACAAGTGTGCCAAGAATGGAAGTTCGGGGTCCCATATGATTATTATTATAGTAGAGGTTGGTGTTAGTCAGAGTATTGGGTTAGTAAATGGGGCGAATGTCATCTGTACAAAGTAATGGGAAGCGGACACCGGTTCCTGGCGAATTCCCATTCCCGTAACACCTGTATACTATTTATTATAGCGGACGGTGTTTTTTTCTTACTTCCCCCAGGTAACAAATGTGTGATGGACATCGCAGAGGCCCCGGAAGACCGTTTTTTCGTCACCGGGTCTGCCGGAGAGGTCTGCATTATTCTGGACGTGGCCGCTAAGTTCGTTATCCCGTATAAAATGTATGATAACTCGGTGAGTGAAAAAAAGTTTTATTTCAAACAATAATTCCAAGAGCAAATTTTTCCGGTTGGTCGGAATGAGGAATTTAAGGACTTTGATGGGATTTATTGACAGTTGTAATAATTAAAATTAGTTTAGACATTGCTATAGCTATTTTCTCTATAATTGGGGTGCACGTGCGTCACATGCGGCTCATGTTTGACGGGTGCTATTTACCGGTAGTTTCAGACTCCAAAAGGCGTGTTGTACAAGTGACAGAGCATTGGAAGAAAATGAATATTTATAATTTATCTTTCACATGTCATGAATTTCCTACATGAATTGCCTCATGGTACTAAAAAATATGCCTAAAGGACCCTGTCTGTGAGAAATGAATGTTGTCACGTGTTTAGCATGAAATGCTGACCTATGGAATGCCAACTCCCAAATATTACGACGCATGTCGGATTCGGATAGGTTAATTTCACAGTTGCAAATGCCGGTGTGACAAGAATGGTAGTTTATGGAATGGAAGTCAGGGGTCCCATATGATTAGTACAGGTAAGGGTTAAACGGGGTATAGGGCTTAGGACATGGGGCAAATGTCAACTGTACATAGTAACTGGGTGTGTGTGTGTGGGGGGGGGGGGGGGACTACGGTTCTTAGCGGACTACCATTCCTGTCTCACCATTTCTTCGAGAGTGTTTCAGCTTAATTCCAATAGCGCTTATTTGTCACCCTCCGTTTTTTTTCTAGACTGGACACGGAATGTTCAATCTCCCGACACAAAATGAGACCACAGTAAGCGGTCAGTGCGACGAGAGGCGACAGACTGTCTCCGTGACGTTTTTCGAGGACTGGGTGTTGAGCGCCTCCTTTGAGAAGGATGATATGACGTCATCGGGGAATTACAACGTCAGCGATTTGTCACTGACCTTCACCTACAGTGATGAAAGATTCGTGGATCCCCATCCGAGTATTGTCGGTAATTATTAGCTTACGTTATCTAGGAAGCTAAGTAAAAGTTGTAGTAATCACAGAGATACAACAAGCAGGACTACCTGAGTTGATTAAAAACGTGAACACCTAATAGACTAACTATCAAGTTAAAATTAGTCGTTTTTATTTATCCATTCATTTAGTTTTTCATGTGTCAACTTATATATTTATTTATTTATTGATTTTCATCAAAGACTACAGACAAGGAGAGTTCTCTTCACTCCCTTTTTTTACATTTTCATTGAGTATATAGATTTCGACATTAAATTTGTTTTGTTACTTTACGTGTCAAACTCTGATCCAAAAATCTGCACCTTTTCTTCCAGACACCACAGCCACTGTCCATCTGTCCATGGGGAACCAGACCACTCTTGACCCATTCCAGGCGGCCTTGGGACAGTACTTTAAGTGCCAGAAAGAACAGACGCTACTTCTGGCGGACGAGAATGGCAACGGCGCTCGGCTGGACACTTATAAATTCGACTTCCAGGCGTTTAAAGAGACTAATGATAACGATTTTTCCGATGCACAAAACTGTGAGTATATATATATATATATATATATATATATATATATATATATAATTTTTTTTTTCTTTTTCGTTAAATTACTATTGCAATTCATTACCATCCAGTCAAATATTGCATAAATCCAAATATTTTCAAGTCATAATAACTCTTCGTTTTGGCCAAAAATTGGATTTTCCTGGAAAAAACGGCAATTTTCCCGTACTTACCAATGGCCAACGACCCCATTCCTGCATTCAAAGCTAATCCAGGTTTTTTTTCCTAAACGTACGGTTTTTTGTGAAAATCTCTTAAGAGATTTTAACTGACGGAGCTCTCTCTGACACTGCAAAGTCACTGGTGACCTACTTANTGCAATTCATTACCATCCAGTCAAATATTGCATAAATCCAAATATTTTCAAGTCATAATAACTCTTCGTTTTGGCCAAAAATTGGATTTTCCTGGAAAAAACGGCAATTTTCCCGTACTTACCAATGGCCAACGACCCCATTCCTGCATTCAAAGCTAATCCAGGTTTTTTTTCCTAAACGTACGGTTTTTTGTGAAAATCTCTTAAGAGATTTTAACTGACGGAGCTCTCTCTGACACTGCAAAGTCACTGGTGACCTACTTAAAACCGCGGGAAAAGCAGACAACAACAACACTATGTAAGATTCATGAGATATATTCGTCTTTTTGTTAAAAAAATGCATTTATATCCACAATGTGTGCCATTCTGGGCTTTTCGTTATCCGACGCACTGTACAAAAACTCGCAACTTACGTCTGAGGGTTTCCCGCCATGTTATTTTGGTCTCGAATGAACGCGAGAATCCGCGTGACACCATTACGTCATTAGCAACGAATGCACTTGTAGACCGGAAAAAAAGGGATCGAAAGCCCTATTGACAAGCACAGATTTTAGTTTTCCTACAATAACGGCCGTTTTAGTGGTAAAATACAATAGAATATATTTCCATGCGTTTTTTATAATGCATTTCATGCGGATTTTTGAATCTCAAAGGAAGAGTTATTATTGCTTTAAAATAAATGTCTGACATATTGATTAAGACAAATCTTTAGGCAATATAGCTAATCCAGCATGCGGCATGTTTTAAGCCAGCTGATGCAGTAGTGATTTATCAATATTAGGAATTTTTGGACCAGCGATGGAATATTATAATTCTAATTGAATAATTCCAGGAATAGACCAATAAAAAGTATATATTAATACTGTGCTTTTTGTATATTTTCAGTTCATGAATGCTCTAGCGGCGGCGGTGGCGGCAGCGGTGGGGCTGAGAATGGAGATAGTAATGCAATAGTGCACGTCGTAATCGCTTTGGTCGTAGGCCTTGCTGCTCTCCTCCTTCTCGCTGTGTTCCTGATCAAACGCCAGAGAGCCAGGTCGTCGTATCAATCCATGTGATAAACTTTCAGATTTTGGAATGTTTTGGCGTTCAGTTTTCAACCACATCTAACCGGAAATGTCCGATTAAAAGCGAAGAAACAGCCAATTTCATAAGAAGTGTTTTGGATAGCGGGATGGCCTTTTGGGGCATAGGTAGAAGTAAACCTTGAAGAAGGCGGTGAGCACGTGATTAAATGGCTATGAAGAAAAAAAAACAGAAATAAACCAGCCAGAAAAATAAACAAATAAAAGCATGATTAAGAAGAAACAGCCCATTGGAGTAATTGGATTAGATCGTAAGTTTTGGGATCTCCCCAAAATATAATGTATATAGGACGTTAACCAGTTACAAATACTTGTGACATGGTTCTTGTATTTATCAAATTGTTCGTTTACCTTATTATATTATATTTATTCATGTTTTGCGGTTATGTAAATTCATATTGAATCAGCTCAAGGCTTTGTATTGCCTAGGTTTACAATTATTTCAGCATTATACGAATGTAAATAAGAACGCAAAGTTGAGGTAATGCTTTTTAGTCCAGTTTCATATTCTTGTCTAGGTCAATTAGTTGTAAAGCGCAATGAAAAAAGCATGAAAATAAAAATGCTCGCACGCTTATTGATATCTCACTGGTAGGTTTTACGTATCATTGCTGATGGATTTAGATAATATTAAAAGTAAACTGGTAAACGTTTATGAATTTCATTTATGTTCATTCTAAACCATTTAAAGGTATCGTTCTATAAAAAGGAAGTGATTTTATTATCAGAAACTATAACGCAAATTAAACATTCCTGTGCGGAAGCTTTCCCATATTTAAATAGCTCTTCTGTATGCACGGGCATCTCATCTCCCTACAGTACATGATTAATCCATGGGAGGGCGGAAGACGCGAACGGTCAGAATGTTCAAGTTTACATTGACAGGCACCCAATTTATTGTCAGATGGTCAAAATGGAGAATGGATCAAGAAAGACAATTACATATATGAATACTGTCAGGGAATATCTCTGGATCCGCCCCTGTAATACTTAAATCCTGAGCATATTTTGACCATCGTATAAATCACAAGTACTAATGTGTTAACCCGCGAGACGCATGTCTTACTGAGTATTCGGGAGTGTCAGAGCTTGACGTCAGTATGGACACCTCGGGCGATGCCTTATCTGACATCTTGTCTCATTTGGCACTCATTGCTACGGACGTAAATAAGGCTGTGGATTGCTCTAAGTGGAATGTTTCTTGATGAAGTCTGCAACTTTGGCATACGAAAAAGCAATGTTCTCCCTGAAGAATGCTGAAAAAAAAATCACTGTTTAATAGAAAAAGTAACTGATATATTTCTAAATACCGTTAAACTTCCGAGGAGCTTAACACTTTTATTAACAGACCAAAATGTGTCACCTTTTATGCACTGTATCCACCCAAATGTTTACTTTACCCCATCTACGATGGCCAAGTTATAAAGACTCCTCGTTATTTTATCCGATACAAGTCGTTAAAGCTAAGGCAGCCGAGTCACCTGGTAGAACGAAATATGAATGGACCACGCCCTTCATTACGACCAGCTCCGTCTCCACGCCTGCGTCCTTTAATTTCTGTACATATTCTTAAAAGAGAAAAATAAATATAGTTACAAATACACGGTGCAATTGACAATACCAGTACGTTGATAATTTCATGGTCTAATAAAGAAGCACCAATAATTTTTTAAATCACAATTCTACATGAATCTCTACAAACTGTTTTATCCACACTAAGAAAGTTTATCTGTTCGGCATATATTCACCCTTAGGTACAAAATGCTAATGATGACTATCTCTTGCTGCCCTCCGAGGCCGTTTCATCTAGACCCCATTCACATAGACACCATGGGTCTACGTAAATCGAACCGACATTGCGGGAACTCCCGCTGAGTGCAATCTGCAATCCTGGCACTGGGTACATGTGAAGAATACTGAAAAGGTGGTGATTTTACAAGAACGTTGGCAACAGGAGAAGGCATGATCGGTTAAGCTGATTGCAGTCAGCGAGAGTCCCTGCAGAGCTGGGTCGATCCACGCAGACCGATGATGTCTATGGGAATGAGGTCTAAGGTTGATGGTCATGAAGGAGCCTGGTACTGAAACTGGAGATGAAGACCTGCCACGTCGAACATTACTAAAAACACAGCGTTGATTAATTACCCCCTAACAGCTTCAGTAGGCGTGTCAGATACCAGAGCGGCGTAAGCTGAAAGCAATTTAGCGAGAATCCCCTCGGAGAAGGACCGATTCCGCTAGATCGAAGTAGGTATGGGAATGGGTCTAAGATTCGGCCTACGGAAACCGCCGAGGTTTCCCGAAAGATACAAACCCATGTTTTCGTCCACCAAGACGTCACTTCCTGTCACGATACACAACGCAGGCGGAAGATGGCTGAAGGACTGTCGCAGCAATGGAGAGGCACGCGGATCACTCTTTTCTTCTTCGTTATTTAAGAAGTGATTAGCATACCTGGAACGATAATGATAATAATAATAAATGTAATAAAAGTACACTTCTTTCAGGAAGTTTTGATATTTGCTATTTTACTATTATACTCGTTTTCATATTTTCTTTCCTCGAAAGTAGTCACTTATTAGAATGAAATTGCATTTTACTGTGAACACAGCAAGAGCAGGCGAATGGGAACAGAATTGAACCATTTGGTGTCATACCACTGCATCTGTTTCTCTGTCAGCGAGTAGCCATCTGAGTAAAGTTTGTAGGATGCTGTGTTACAGCGAAGGTCGAACACAGGATAGACTAAAACCTGGAGAAAGACGATTGTGTTTTAGCACCGCGCACTTTCTTC